GACATTGCCAAATGAGAGAAGTGTCCAAGGCTTTACCTCTACACTGACTTGTGGATGACAGCCAATGCTCTGTGGGGGTGGCTGGACCAATGGAAGAAGACTAATTGGAAGCATAGAGGAAAACCCATCTGGGCTGCTGATATGTGGCAAGACATTGCTGCCCAGATAGAGAAGCTGACTGTGAGAGTCTGCCATCTAGATGCCCACATGCCCAAAAATCGAGCTAATGGGTAACATCACAACAACAAAAAGGCAGACCGAGCTGCACAAGTCAAGGTGTCACAGTTAGGTCTGGACTGGCAGCATAAGGGAGAGTTGTTCCTAGCTTGATGAACCCATGATGCCTCAGGCCATCAGGGCAGAGATGCCACCTATAGATGGGCACAAGACCGAGGGGCTCCACTAAAGCCACTCTCTCACCCTCCCTCTGCAACTGGACAGAGAAGAGAGAAAAAAAACCAGCTAAGAATTTGTGAGTAGATATAAGAGCTGGGAGAGGTCAGTGTCTGATTACCTTCACAGGCAAAACAAGACTCAAAGTGGGGATAAATCTTATTTTATTACTAACAGGATAAGAGCCAAAGAGTGAGAGATAAAGCAGTCTTAAAAATACCTCCCCCCACCCCTCCTTCCTTCCATGTTCTCCCTCCTCTCTCCCGGCGGTGCAGGGGGACAGGGAATGGGAGTTTTGGTCAGTTGTTTTTTCTGCCGCTGCTCAGAGCACCTCCTGCCCCTCATTCTGCATTGACCTTGGTGTCTACATTGTTATTCCCATGTTCTCACTCTGTTCTTCCCTGGCTAGAATTTCTTCTGCACAAAAATCTTCTCTTCTTAAGTGTGTTATCACAGAGGCGTTACTATTGCTCGTAGTTGGCTTAGCCTTTCCCAGTGGCAGGAAGTCCATCCCGAAGCCGGCTGGCATAGGCTCCAGGGGACAGGGGAAGCTTCTAGCAACTTCTAACAGAAGCCACTCCTGTAGCCACCCCTGCTACCAAAACCCATCCACAGAAAACCACTTCAGACAGTGAGCAGATGACTATGTGAGGCTGAGTAACCTGATGGGGTCAAACCACCACAGCTTGTTAAATTATCTATAGATCACTTCTCCTGTTGATCTGCTTGCTGCTATTAGCATAGTAAAAGTTTTCTCTGCTTTGTCTTCCTTTCCCCCCCATATTTTTAATAATATTATATCCTTTATTATTTGCTCTCTGGATTTCTTGCTTCCACCTGATGTATTAGCAGCCACAGGCATTTCGTCTACTGAAAGTGTCTCTCTTCTTGACTTTTTTATCCTACCTAGAGTTATCTAAGATGGAATTCATCCTTTTAAAATTTCAGTTTCAACAACGAGAAATATTCCACCAAGGAGAAATACTGTGGTAGGTACTATATCACTGGGGAAAATCATCTTCTGGAAATACCTTTCTTTCCATCAGTTACCATGAGACCACAGAATTTACACAGATGACATACCTAATGTTTTGGTAAAAAGGTAAAAGAGGTTAGATAATATCCACTGACAGCATCTAAAGATTCGTTTATGTTTAAAGACTGGTTATATATCCTACTAAAGAACATTTTATTTTTTTTTCAAAATTCCTCTCTCAAATTGTCTTTTGTATTTTGTTTGCAATCTGCCACAGAAGAATACTAAGCATAATTGTACTGCAAATGTTGTCTTAATTACTAGGTTCTTTGAACATAGTGCAATTTACCTGACCTAATTGTTAACATCTAAAGATTAAGAATTGTGAGGGAAAACAAGTCTCTTCAAACCTGTTCCAGCTGTCTGCAATCCTCTATACCGTAAATCATTTATGGCTCTCACCTTACTATATAGAAAATATAGATTGAAGCTAGGTGATTAAGGTGTTCATTATATTTAAGGTCCCTTCCAACCCAGGACATTCTATGATGCTATGATCTATATTGTAGACAGAGTGGAGGTTAAAATCACCTATTTCTTTCCCTGAAAAGCACCTGGGTGAGCCATTTAATACCTCCCTTTAATCTTTTCCTTGAGTTAGAGAATTGCTTAGCAGCTTCAAAGTCTTTGGATGGTGTTGAAGTACACAGTTTACTAAAACATGTATCAGTAAGAAAGGACAATTTCTACTCCTTTGCCAGTACCATAAAAATTGTTGGCTCATAATACATAAACTCAAATGTATCCAGCACCTTCAGACTGAATACATTTGTGCATTTTTTTTCAAAATATTTTTTTATAAAAATTTTTGGCCCAAAATAATATGTTTCTCTCTTAGGTAAGAAAAACATAAATAACAATTATGTTTCCAGGTTGAGTAAGTGTCAAGGAGAACACTGTCGTTTGAAACAACCTATGGTGTCATTGTGATTATGCAGACAGACTTACAACAACAAGTTATTGGTAGAAGTGTAAGAAAATATGCACTTAATATGCTAAAAAATTGGCCAAAATGAAGGGATAAAAATAAATACATACAACTTAATACTTCTAGTAGATATATGTTTAGTTATATTTCTTGAAAAGTAATGTAACTTTTTTGTTTTCTTTCTGCAAACATCTCTTTTTTATGGCACTTGTAATAACTGATGGTTAGTGCCTCAAAAAGTTTCCTTGAATTATAACCATGTAAACAATTTCATCACTATTTGGGTTAAAATTTTTTGTTCTAAAAAATTCTGATGTAGTTGAAGAAATTACTGTACTTTGCTGGAGAAAAAAAATAAATAAATATACATGGTAAATTTTTTTTTTTTTTTCAAAAGGCTGCATTATTTTGAGAATAAATAACAGCTGTATATATCTATTTTATAAGCATTCGTTGGCATCACTGCCAATGCTTTTTAATTTCCAGACCAAATTTGAGCTCTATCAAAAGTGCAGTTTCTTTTTGGTTATTAGATAGGTCATTGGTTGCTGATACAACTGTGGAGTCCTGTGACTTCAAAGTGAAAGATGCAATAGTGGAATGCAGCAGAGTCCTCAGATTCAGGCATCAGAAGCAGTGATAAGTCTACACATTAAGAAAAATCTTGGATATATTAGTTTCTGGCAGGAGTGAAAATGGTATTGTTTTCAGTAGTCTGTCAGTGTATGACAGAGGTTTGTACTTTCTGAGGGTTTATACAATGACAGAAATAGCTAATGGAAAGTTTTCTAAATGGGAAGGAATTACCCTAAGTCTGTCTAAACTGGCCTTGCATTTTCCACAGGAACAATAAATCATTACATCTTGAACTTCTCCACCCACAGATCCCATATAAAGATCAAGGAAATCTTAAAGTGATAGCACAACTGTGGTCAAGGAGAGGTTTTAAGCTCCTTGAAGCAAAACTTAACCTTTGGCTTGGTAACTACCACAGCACACATCTGAATACATATTAAAATCATAGTATACAAAAAGCATGGAAAAAAATTAAATAGGCATACTATAATTCTGGAAAAGTACTTGAAGTATTACATGTGGTTATAATCTTTTTTCTTTTTTTTTTCCTTACAAGATGAAAGTCTTTGTTTTGAATATCTGTTCTTGTGTACAGAGGGACTTTTTTTTTGATGTTATTTGTCTTTGCCTCTTACACTCATGGTAGGGACTTGCATACTGTTCTGTCTCTTGAAGATTATATTTTAATTTTAGTTATTTTAAAGTGACTGATCAATCTGTCTTACTACAGTAATGTTTTTCTCATTCTAAACAGTGATTTCTGGAGACAAATCAAGAATACTAAGTAGCTATCCAGTGAAGTCACCTAGCAAATCAGACTCAGAAATAACTTAGTCAAAACTCTATGTCTAAATAGGGTTTGTGAAGTTTCTGAATGTAGTTACAGATTTGAACTTCGAGTTGGATTTGTTTGGACTTAAAGAGCTAGTTGTTCACATATTTCTATGCGAAATATTTCTATATAGAGGTAATGCCTTTCTGCCTTTCTTGCAAACTAAACATGATGGGTTGTTTGTCTTGGCCTACTTTCGCTTCTGCTTCCCACTCTACAAAACACAGGTTTATGAACTGATGTCAGATAAACTATTTTCACACATAAGTTTGAATGTTTCTAAGTACTATGTAGAACCAGAACAACTTTTAGAATTTCAGAGATCATTAAAATTACTTGATTATATCAATCCATTTAAATAAATATCTTTGTATATCCTATTTCCTGTCTTTGATAGATTTCACTGATAACATTTTTAAAATTTTATAAATTTAAAACATATTTAAAGTATACAATGTCACTTTTGAAACTATAGCTAATTCTTTAGCTGTTCAACATGAAAGAAGATGTCTCATGATCCAACTGAGTTAGTGTTGAAATTGGTTAAATACAAGTGTAGCCTTACTGTGTTACACTTAGTCTTTGTATGCACGGTTAATTTGTAACAGCTAAAACACATGCTCTTCCAATCCCTTCAGTTCAGCCATTCAATATCTCTCTCAAACTCATACTCTCTTGCTACAGGGCAATTATTCCTTATCATGCTTTTTTAAAAGGTCAGTTTATGAATTCAGATAAGGAAAAAAAAAGCCAGTGAAGTTTGGGGGTTTTTTCCTCTTTCTTTTAGCATCAGCAAAAAGAAGAGCTACTGTTTCAGAATTGCAGATACATTTAGCTAATTTCTACATGATCGCATCAAAGACATTCCGTTCTCTAATTAGTGAAATCTTCAAAGAAAAATACCAGAGAGAAAAAGCCCTGTCTTTCAACCATCACTGAACTTCTCATGCTAGTAAAAGTTGGAAGTATAATATGAGCGCAAAACCTATAAAGGCAAATACTGAAACAAATAAGCAAAATATGATCCCTTTGCCCTTTAGTATTTGGATGATAAAAATCTAAAACATTGCCCAATATCCTCATATCCCACTTATTCTTTTTATTCTTCTGCTTTCTGGATCTGAAATCTCTTTTCCAGCCCAAATGATTTTATGATTCTATTCTTGATTTTTTTTTAAAAGAGTAGAATAACTTCTTTTGACATTTGTTATATGTTACCAATTCAAGGGTTTCATAAGGACTGACGTATTTCTGTCAAAACTAAGAAGAAGGTGGATAAGTGCAATGAAGAGAGATGGACCATGATGGGAGATTACACCAGCTTTTAGTTTGGTTGCCAAGTTGTTAATAAAGTCAACATTGTGAAGAAATGAAGTTTAAAGTCTATACAATGAAAGTACATTCTACTTAGAAAAAGGAATGTAACTACTGCTTATAACTCTTGCAAAAGGCCATATTTTTAAAAAAATAAAATTAAACCCAAACCATTTTGCTTTGTAATCACCCTTCCCAATAACAGTCAGACTTTACCACTAAACAAACCAAACCAAACCAAACAAAACCCCCAAACAAACAAAAGGAAAACTGTAAGGTAACATTGGTTTGCAAGTAAAGAATAACTTGAAATTTTTGAATCAACAAAACTGAATTTACTGTAGGGGAACTATAACAATATGGCATATAGGAAAAGGAGGAGTGCAGTGTTTCTGATATAAAAGAGAGGATGATGACAAGGTTCTATGATTAGAAGACAAAACAGTTTTTAGAATAAGCTTATTGACATTGAAGATATATTTAGAGTCATATTTATACAGAGATAGAAAAGGTTGGATGAAAAGCATTCTATCATATACTGAAGTGCTCAAGATTCTATGTAATGACAGTCTGACTTAAATAGTGTTAAAATCAATTTAGCTCAATACTAAGATTTACTAAATTGGTATAATGGGTCTACTGTGACCACAGACAAGGTGAATCAAATAGTACAGTGATTCTGATGGTTGTTTTATATGTGTGGTTTCAATATTTTCATTTCTGTAAATATGTGGTAGGAATACCAGGACAGTTCATTGATACACGATGCCAAATATTACATTTCTCACTGGTGTAGTGGGAAAATAACCCCAACCCCCCAGTCCCCTCTCCCTCTCAAAAAAAACCAAAAAACAACTCCCCCCCAAAAAAAACAAAAACCCACCCAACCAGCCAACCAAAAAAACACAAAAAACTCCAACTACAAACAAACAAACAAACAAACCCAAACAAAAGACCCCCAACTCCATTCCCCAGTAACTTGTTTCTTTGATATATAAGTAATTAAACTCTCCTTAATTGCAAGACTGCAAACTTCCTTTACCTGCATTTACTCTCATGGACCTTCCCATGTATACAGTAATTGCAAAAAATAGTGTTATAGAAATGCATAATCCTCTTCAGAAACAGTAGTCAACATTTTGTTTTAATTAGTTGCAGATCTATTCCTTTCCCCATCCACTTGAAATAGAAAATAACACTTTCAGTTGTGGTAGGCTAGCACAAGTATAGCTGACCTAAATATAATTAAGGAGCACTGAAGAGAAGGTAGCATTCAAGATTAAGCTTGTTGATGACAAAAAACATTTTTTGCAAATTAATAATCTTCCATTGATTGGGTTATTTATGCTATTCCCAGGATATGAGCATGGCAATTTGCAGGAAAATGAATACTTTGTTTCCACTCTTAAAGAGCAGTATGTCTTGAAATAACAAAAGAAGAGGTTGACATGCCACATAGGTAATTTAGCTGCAGCTCCATTCCTATGAATCACAGCCAAGTAATTAATCTTTTACCTAGGAGACAGTACTAGTGATATTAATGAAATGTGGGAACAATAATCATCTTTATATAAGGAAAAGTAAGTACCTAGTTTAGGGGAGATTGATACTTTTCACAAATATGGAGACACTGAATTTTGGTATCAGTGTGTCAAATGTCTAATTGATGGATATTACTACCATACAACAGTTTCACAGATTAAGGAACTGGACCTGGTTAAATGCATAGGAAATTTACAAGCGTTGCAACAGTAAAATCAGTAGAAAATTTTCTATTTTGTATGCAGCATATACTGTTTTCAGTCTAATTGGTTTTTCATAGATTTAAAGACACTTTCTACAAATAGGAGCGCATCTATTTTCCCCAAGAAACACATTATTCTGATTAAATATTTGAAATTAAGATGGAGTGATTTCATGTGTTAGTTTTGATTATGCTGGTTGGTTCAATGAAAAAAAATTGGCAATCTCTTATAAATGTTTCAAAAATCTGAAGTGGCATGACTTTGTGATTAAAATTGTTTAATTACCATTTCCTGAAATATTAGAAATTAACCAAAGAAAAGAATTACCCTAAGAATTATCTGAAAGTTTTTCACCATAAAAATGTTTGGGTTTTTTGTTTGTTTGTTTGTTTTTTTGTTTTTGTTTTTGTTTTTTATTTCTGTGCTTAATTTTTTTTTAAATTGAATCAGTATGAGACCAAAGTAGCTAATTCTAGCTGTATAAGTGAGGTAAAGTTTCTTGTTAATTTGGAATGTGTGCTGACTCCTAAAAAGTGGCCTTGTATTCTTTACAACCTCTCTGCCTGAGAGATTTTGTTTAAACTATATCTGCTGTCTACTACAGGATCTATTAAGAAAGACAAAGCAGAAAATACTCAAATTCTTATACTTTCAAAAACAGATTAATAGAATAATTTGGATTGGAAGGAACATTTAAAGGTCATTTAGTACAACCTCCCTGCTATGAGCAGGGACATCTCATCATTTTGTTCAGAGCCCTGCCCAATCTGACCTTGAATGTTTCCAGAGTTAGGGCACCCACAATAGCTCTGGGCAACCTGTTACAGTGTTTCACCATCCCCATTGCAAAAAAAGAAAAGAAAAATTCTTCCTTATATCTAGTCCAGTTTTTCTTTCTTCTATTTTAAAGCCATTACCCCTTGTCCTTTCACAACAGACTCTCTTTAAAAATCTGTCCCCTTCTTTCCTGTAAGTTCCCTATTAAGTACTGAAAGGCTTCTATAAGGTGTCCCCAGAGCCTTCTCTTCTCCAGGCTGAACAGCCCAAACTCTCCCAACCTGTCCTCACAGGAGAGGTGCTCCAGTCCTCTGATCATTTTCATGGCCTTCCTCTGGACTTGCTTCAACAGGTCCATCCATGTGTTTCCTGTGCTGAGGACTCCAGAGCTGGATAGATTATGCCAGGAAGGGTCTCATGAGAGTGAAGAGCAGAATCACCTCCCTCAACTTGCTGGCCACATAGAGATAGAAAAAAAACATTATTATACCTATTAGAAAAATCAATAACAGAAAGAGATTACTGAGTTTTCCATTGAGCAGTGCTAGAACCCCTATACTTGAAAGCAGGAAATTTGACATTTTCCAGTTATTATTCTTACATTGTGTACATGTTTTACTGCTCTTATAGAAATCTAAAAAAATATTGGTCAAATGAAAAGGTGATAAAATGAGTTTGATGAAGCCTTCTTAGACTACCACATCAAAAATCTCCAAAGATCGCAATGAGATGAGCTGGATTTTCTCCAGCTATTCCCTGATGCTTCAAGGTATACATAGCATACAAACATTGAAAACAAGAGAAGTAAAATGTACTTACTTGCACCCTTCAATATCTTCCAAATCTGAGAAGCAAAAGAAGCCAACATTGAAATAAAGTATCCAGTACACAGGCTGAATGAGGATCTGGCATAGGCGATCAAATATAGGAAGATGGGAGAGAACGCTTGGAAAATTAACCTAAGAAGTAACAGAAACATTGAATAAGAATTATCATTTACTTTGGCTGAACACCAGGTGTCCACCAAGCCTGAGCAGACCCTCCCACCCCCCAAAAAGGGTAGACGAAAGAAAAAAAAAAATGTGAAAAACCTGGGCTTATCAAGGAAGAAAGATTATATTTACACGGGGAAAAAAAAAAAAAAAAAGAAGAGACTAATAACACTACAGACACACAGGTAAAGGAAACCAACAGTAAAAAATTCTACCTCCCTCACAGAACGGCGTCCGGACAGACGCAGCTGCCTACAGGGCCATACCAGAAGAAAGAAGGGCTGAGCTAATTCTCCCTTCCCTCTTATAGTCAGACTGATGTAACATAGTATGGAATATCCTGTTTCTCCCAGAGAGAGGAAGTGTTATTTTACTACACAAACCCATTACAATCTGAAAATAACAATTGAAAGATGTGTGTTGAAAAAGGAAACAAGAGGGCACTGGGCACCAGATTGGTGGTAAGAACACGAGCAGATTTTTGAGAAGCCAACATGTTAGTCCTTTCCCATGATGTCCTTCAGACAGTCCAGACAGGTTAAGTAAAGGTCTTATTATATGAAGACCTCTGTTTTTGTGTTCTTCCTAGTGCTTTTTAAATTTTTATCATGTACTATGTTCCACTGTTCTGTTGGCAGGTAATCTCATTTAAAAAGTGATACTTTTTTTTCTTGTCAGTTAAAATACTACCATCCTATTTTGAATGATTTTCTTATTAAACACTTAAACATTTTTATTGCACATTTGCAGTACTGTCTCACATCTGAAAAATAAAAATAGTGTAATAAAATATTTCAGAAAGAGCATATGAGTTTTGAGATTTCAAACCTTGTGGAATTTCAGAAGTCTTTTCTCCTCGCTTCCTATCTCTATGATGCTCTTCATATTTTGGATTCGGAAGATCTGGAAAAAAACACTGATCTGTTAGATTACTTGTTTAATGTTTCAACTAACATCAGAAACAACCTGCTGTTGAAATTCCATAGTATATTCTGACTGGTTTACATGGCTGGCTGGTATTGAACTTTACTAAATTATGAGCTTTTCTGAGACAGGAAGCTTGAAGGAAGATATAAATATGTTGTGAATCCTGGTTTGAAATATTTTATAAAAAATAAAAATTACATTATTATTTTATAAATTCATATTAGAGCTACTTTTGCTAATACCTTTGATGGTGATTCTTTGAGGGATCCTAAACCATTCACTTACAATAGAATATGATGGCAAGATTTATCTCACCTATCTTCAACCACTTAAAAATAAGAATCTTGTCTGCTCTTTTGTTAGTTAATAACAGGGAAGAAGCATTTTTCCAAAGCAAATTGCTCAGTACAAAGTCCATCATTCACTCTATTCTAAAATTGCATGAATCATTGCTTGGATGTGAATTGAACATTTCCCTCTCCATTGCAACGAGAATCAGCATAGAGTATATTAGCATAAGGTAAAGTGTTCATTAGGAAAAGCACATCTAACACTAGCTGTGCTAACTGCTTCCACAGAAATTTACATTTTGAAAGATGCTATTTTGCTGATTAAAATACAACAAAATCAAACGTCTTACAGTAGCAGTAAAAGTGTCAATGTCAATTACACTGTACACACTACACAGAAAACTCTTGAAATGTGTTAATGAGAAAGAAACAGAAGTCACTACTCTTAACTGCTAATTCAGGATTATGCGTTTTGGTAAAAGCTGGATGACATAATGCAACAGAAACTTCAAACTTTACAGCTAGGTGCTTCTTCTATAGAAGTTACTTTATAGTTGTAATACTTTCTCCAGAGGGTGACAGGGTCAAATCACATTCCTTTATTCTTAACTATATGTACATGAAAAACAAAGCACTGCAGATGTTATGTTTCCTAAAAGAAATATAGTTTGGTTTGGTGGTTTTTTTTTTTAATTCTTACTTTTGATCATTATTAATGATACATTGACTCAAGCCATTCCATACATAACACACGAAGGAGTTCTCTTATTGAGAGAGATAAAGGAATTTGAACAACACTTCAAATATTCCCTTTTTTTCACTATACACATTATTTTTAAACTGTAATTATTACATTTGTTTTGCAAATAAAGTTACTTACAATTTTCTAGCTGATCATAATCAGAACCCTTTGGGGCAAGGTGGTAGGGTCACCAGAGTATGATCAAGATGTTAAATGTTTGCTTACCTAGAGATCCTACAATAATAAAAATTTAAAAAAAATAAAATAATAAAATTCATAATAATTGTATTCTATATGATAGTGTCATGCTCTTTTACCATAAATAGGAAAAACCAATCCACTTCTGAAAACATTCACAGCATAAAATTCTGACTGTAGATTTCATTAAGGCATTCTGTAAGAAGTATCTTATTGTTTGCTTCCTATCTAATTCCTACCTTATCATAAAATCAAAGAATAATTAAGGTTGGAAAAGGTCTCCAAGGTCATCAAATCTAATCTTTGACCAAACACCACCTCATCAACTAAGCCATAGCACTAAATGCCACATCCAGTTGTTTCTTGAACACTTCAGGGATGGTAACTCCACCACTTCCTTGGGAAGTCTGTTCCACTGCTTGAAAACACATTCAGTGACAAAATTCTTCCTGATGTCCAACCTGAACCTCCCCTGGTGCAACACCTTGTCTAATTTTGAGTGATTAACTGGAAGTCAATGCATATGATGTTAAGCAGGTGATGCATATGTCAGTGTGGGTGAGAGGGGAAGGAAGGATGAGGTTGGAACAAAGCACCCTGAGCATGTGGGTACTGACAGCAGAACTTTCAAAATTTTCACTAAAAAAAGGAAACAAAAATTTTTTTAAAGGAGTGAGCTTGGCAGTATAGTTGTTAGGTGTATATTTTAATTAATCTTTGTATTATTATATTTCTTTTAAAAAATCATGAATTGTATTCTTGTCTATGCTATCTATGATTTTATTACCTAATTTCTATCCAAAGTTAGTTAAGACTTTTTAATTCCTTCTGTGAATATCCTCCCATAGTGAAATAGTAATTCAAAGCAGAAAAACTCAGAAAAATATCAATTTCTTAGAGCACATCTGTGCATTTTCAGCCTTTATGCCACCAGAGAGCAGCAAGGAACCCACATGTGCAGGGATTCCTGGTAAAAATGAGCTGTGAAGGTGTCAGGGATCTGGCTTCATAGTCTGATGATGTGATAGCCCGTTGACCACAGCTGGGTTGAATTGAGCATTCAGGTGGACTACAGTCATCTGGTGATGGAGTGGTCTGGCTCTTAGACAGACCTACCAAAGGGAAATCTCAAGTCCAAGTAACCTCAAATTTGAGGGTTTCATTATATCTTACTGGATTGTTGGCAGAACCATCTTGATTTTATGATTCAGCATTTCTACCTCACAGTCCTTAGTGACACAGTTGCATCTTCCATTTGTCTTGTTAAACTATTGAGGTTTTTTTCTCTTGATTTGTTTTTACCTGTTGAATATCAGGTAGATGAACACAATTGTAGGTATGTGTGGTAACTACTTAGTCAAACATGAAAATATCATCTTCACTTACATTTTATAGAACAATATATACAAAAGGAGAATTAATCTATATGGGATTTCCCTGTCTTCCTAGACTTTCCCCCTTTCATGTCACAGAAAATAAGACCAAGGAACTAAACCTTGTCTCTCTCCAAGTTACAGAGAATGCAGTCAAAGCAATTTTAATATAAATGGTTTCAAAGTATGTCTTTACACATTCCAGTTCATAGCTATCCCACTGGAACACATGGAGGTCAGTTCTAATTTATGTCAAGCTGTTGCGGTCACAGAGAGATGAAAATAAAACACAGCACTTACTGCTAACAGAAAAGGCTTTTCTTTACCTTTATGGGGAAAAAAAAATAGAAGAAAAAAAGTAAGAGTGATTGTGGGAGGTCTATGCAGTGGGTATTTTTCCTTGATCTAGGATGACCTTCCTTAGCAATGCAATGTGCATCTAAGTATAAAATATGCTTATTAATCTTGAAAATACTTTTCTACCAAAACTCTCTACTAGAGCCCTCTCTAAAATAGCAGATAATATACTTCTTTGAATATTGCTTTCTATAATGCTAGTCACAGAAGACATAATATCCTGTACCCTACACATTAAATTGGATTGTTAATTGTTTCACGACAGAGAAAATATGATAAGAGTAGCTCACAGAGAGACCAGCTGATATAAAACTTAATGTAAGGTAGAGATTTTTTTTTTTTAATGAAATTTACTTTTACAAAATTTGACGGTGGTTCAAATTACTTGAACATCAGAGGACAAGTGAGTTTATTAATCCTGTAGAGAGGGTAATGTCCACTCTGCCTTTAGCGCGAAGATTGTCTTCATTCTGCATTAAATTTATTATATAAAACTGTCTTATCCTCAGCTTTATTATCAGCCTGTGTATGGTAGTTGTATGTCTATTCATCATTGTTCAGTATAATTCTCCATTGATTAAAATCACATTGGAAAATTAAAGCCTTTCCTCAAACTTAGACAAAAATATCTTCAGTTCCTGAAGAGTCTTTTCACCATGGCAGGAGGTTTTAAAAAATAATTCACATTTATGTTCCTTTCAGACAAAATTTCTTGAGAAATGACATGTACTACGGTATTGGAAACTTTATCTTCCTGTCAAAGCTGATGCAGTAAAGTCAACTGAACAAGATAATAACATATCTCTTGTAAAGGTGGAAGGTGAGTCAGTGCACAGGGGAAGAAAGATGAAAGAAGCTTTCAAACTCAAATTATTTTGGAACAAACAGTGATGTGCTAGCCAGTCTTAGCTGGCTAACATGATGAGTGCCAGGTCTAAGAATGTTGGATGTGTAGGAAAAGTTAAATAAGTTGAAACTGAAACACAGAAAAATCCCCCGAAGACATTGAAACTGTGGTACTTTGGTACTAAAAGGAATATTTTCATTTTGAGAATGGTGCTTGATTACTGTTAAGATATATTTTCCATGGGATACGTTTGAAAATAATTTTAAAAGAAATGAGTAAAAGTGATTTTTTTTTTTTTTTTTTTTTTTACTAGTAAATGGGAAAAATCATTAAATACATTGGGGAGATTTAAAAATATCTTAAATAATTAAAACTATCAGTATAGGCATACTACATGTTGTATACGTTTTGCAAGTAAAAGTTTGTCTTGGAAAGCTAATATGTAAGTTTAGTAAGCATTCTGAACAAGTGATTTCCTTAATGTTTCCTGACTATTGTGTATAAAATGTAGGGAAAATTGCTGTGGTTAAAGTAGAGCAGTGTAGGAAATTGGATGAACTTATTGCACTCTGCTGTGCATTTTCTTAAGCAAAAATATACTTCTCCAGTGACCTCATTACTCAAAGCTGTGAGTAGGTCGGTCTCTGAGAATTTACCCCAGAACTCTAGAGTTGATTTTTAATTTCTTTCTCCTGTGTGTTAATCTCCACTAAACAGAATTCTCTTCAGAAGCTGAGGATCTACTCTACCCATTCAGATAAACCTGTTGTTAATTTTCCCAAATGTGACCTTGAACTCATTCAAGGAAACAATTCATTCAAAGCAGCACCTTCAATTTTTAAATAATCAAGAGATAAGTTCCATATATGTTCTTATAACTTATATGCATAATAAAAAGCACTGTTCTTCAGTCAACAGGACAAATTTACCTTTGTGAAAACTAATGAACAAAATGAAATATCAACTGTTAGTATTAGGTGTCTATAAAATGTATTTGTTGCAGTTAAAGCAAACAGCTGTATGATACTTATACACTGAGGAAACATATAATAAATACTGTCATGATTAATTCCTTCTTCTACAGTCATTTGAAAGACAAAATTTCATATGTGTGTGATTATTTTCTCTCTGGTCAGCAACTGTGTCTTTTACTATGATGGTAGTTTTTATGTTTTGTGTTTCTAAGAGTTTTTTGGTGGTTTGGGTTAGGCTTTTTTTGCCCATTTCTCTCCTGATTTATGATGTAGGAGAAATCATTAGTTTTGTTATTTTCTTCCTCTCCTTGTGAACAATTTTATAAAAATGCTGTTCTTCTATCTGAAGCTGCAGAGCTCCCCTTGTTGCTTGTAATGCAAAGTGAAATCTGACAGTCTTTTTCAAAGCAGCTAATCCAAACCATCTCAAGTGACACAGACCAGAGGGGAATCCTGGAAAAACAGAAGCCAGGATAATTCCAGATGAAACAGTATGGCAGAGACAAACTGTTCAGAGTTATGCCTTTTCATAGGGGAGCTAATCAGGAAAAAGTGGGAATTGGTTTATGAAGCAGAAGATACGATAAAAAAATACAGATTCTGTATACTTTCTATGTATCTTCTGTGCAGTCATGTTTTGGAAAGAAAATGGTGAGCCATAACCTTTGGATTCCAAAAGTCACTAAAGTCGTATTGCCTTTGATCTATGTAGAGAAAATTATATTTGTATGGTTAGTGTGAAAACTAACACTTTATCTTCTCTGAGCGGAAAAAGGAAAGTATATTGCAAAGTTGAGGAAGCTTTTTTTTTTTTTCTTTCATAAGTTCTCCCTATGTCTTTGTGTGGTGTTTTACAAAGTAAGTGGAGTATTAGACATCTGTGAAAATCTGCAGGTGGTAAAGGTTCAAAGAGTTTCTCTGGATATGTTACTTTATTCTTATTCAAATGCTGGGAAAAAAATGAAAACTGACATTTTCTCACTGTCTTGTTTTTAGATCTCTACAGTGAATGGGAACAGAAGATGGCATAGGCTGTCAGAAAAAATTAAAACAAGGAATATGTCTGTTCATAAATTTGATGACGTGAATTCAAACTACACATAATGTTGTGATAGATGAACACCTTGAAGAACATTTTATTTTCTTATTTGAAAGAAACATTTTGGAAGCAGATTTTATATCCTTCTCTATAATGTTTCTGTCTATCTATACCTACATATTTATATTTAATTCTTTGCGTCTGTATAGGGTCAAGACTTATTTCACATTCAAGACTTTCCCTGTATTATTTGACTGTTCTCATCTTTAAACAGGTTTATCTGAAGATATGATATTCTAGAAAATTCTAGGCAATATACAATGGCAAAATTGCCATTTTTTCTTAAATATGTGGATAATTTGGATTATTATTTGAATTAATCTACCAAGTTTCCCTATTCAAAGGACTCAGTGAGATGTGAAAGACATGATTTTCCTTGGTCTATCTGATGCTGAAGAAAAGCTTGAATTTCTCTCTGTCACATCTCATCTGAGACTCCCAACTGCTAGATAAATTAATATTACTCTTCAGTTTTACTGAAGAATTTGGATCTCAGGGGGAAATTTTGGTGCCAGAACCTAAGTTTTTTAAGCAAATGGTCAGTTCAAAGCTCCTAAGAACTCTTGCTTCTAGCACAGCAGTTTGTTTATTTTATTTTATTTTGAAACCTTATACTGGATTAGTGGACCTATTTAATAATGGTAATTACATAATTTGGTCTTTGAATTAGATATATGTTCCCATTTCAATGTGACTGTTCTTTTCCACATTTTTATTTCCTTCTGCAAGGGAGGGTATGGCTGGTCATTTAGATGATATGGTTTTTGTCATCTCTTGGATCAGTGACTTAATCATAGGATTTCATTTTAAAGAGGACTCGCAGGTCTGCTAATGCCAACAATAAGATGACCTGGTAATATTCAGAGTTCAAAGTTTAATCGCAGTAGATCAATCATCACGAAGTTCAAAGAGCATTATTAAGCAAGCTGCATATTCTAGGTCTTGAGGCAATATAGAATTAATTGTCAGGAAAACAGTGGAAAAGGAAAGCACTTTAATCTTCTTGTCCTCAGTGTGACACACGTCAGGTTTTGAAATATGCAACATGATGTCATAGCTGCAGAAAGAGAGTCCAATTTAGCCAAAGAGAAGGTGCAAAGTGACCTGGTAGAGCTTTTTTAGTATTAATATTATTTTGAAGTTAATAAACCAAGTGATATTTAAAGGTGTAGTATCCAAATTTTGTTTCCAAATTTTTGCTACAAACTCTGAAGATATTTATTGATACTAATTCTTTTTTTTTTCCCTCATGGTCAGATAATTGAGTATTTTAGAATATTAATTCTCTTTGAAAGTTCACATTAATGAGTTCATATTAAGGAATTAAGACTGAATTCATCTCAGTATTAAAAAAGAAACTATGGTATTTCTTACAATGGAGTACATCTCCAACACCTGTGAATCTCCAGATGTGTGTCTAAGCAAACTTTTAAACTAACTGTGCTGTATACACGCGTGAAACAAAGCTAACTAGTAAAACAGATGAAAGTGTAAAGAGTCTTGACTTTGGTAATATAGTGACATGTCTTTGGAGTCTTGAAAGGGGAAAACTCTTAGAAATAAATGTGATGATGATTTAATCAAACTTTAATTTACTTTTGCTTTGTATTGTTTTCTTCATGATACCTGGGATTATCCAATATGTGTCCAATAAGCACTATGGTTTTCTAAGATGAAATTGCATGAATGACATCCACACAAAATGAGATGGAAATTTCATATTCTTGCATAAAAATAAAATAAAATAAAAATTATACACAGTTGTTTCAATGTCTTATGTAATCATGTATAGCAGCATGTATGATTTTCCAGTTTACTAACAAAGTTTCAGCAGCTCTAATATTATTGACTTTCAAACAATGATGGAGACAGTTCAGAAGAAAGTAATATGAAAAATCAGTGATATAGAACAATTCATACCTGTGGTGTACTAGAAAAAACAAAGATTTTATTATTTTAAGGAAAATATAACTAAATCTATTGATTAATCATCATTGGAACTCAGTTGAGTGCCTGCATGAATATTGTATTTTGCAGAAACATATTCGTCACTCTAGTATGTACTAAACCAAGTATAGATGGAAGCTGGGACAAGCAAAATGTAAAACAATACTTTACCCTTAATACACTAAACATGCTCATTGTTCATGCACATAAAATTCAATGGTCTTTTACTAGTTTTGGTTTCTTAACCAAGAACCTATGTAATCACAGTATGAACACTTTTAGTCATGGAGTAGAATATTTCTAGTATCTCACAATAAAGTCAAACCAGACTGGTGTAAAACATTTGTGGATTTGGTTTCATCTAGTATATTTGCCTTCACACTAAAATGGTTTTTCATCATGCATTACAACTGAGAAACAAGTTTGAGAAACAAGTTTAAGAAACAAATAAGTCAAGTTGTTGATTACTTCCTTTCCAATGAAATGGGGCATCACACTTCGTATGTAATTTTAGTCCCCTGAGAGTGATTTAAATGAAATGGTTCAAAGTGGTTTATTTGAATTTACTTAGAGGCTAACTATAAGCACTCAGAGGAGAATACTCATTCTCAGACTCTCAGGAGGTTATAACAAACTCCTGTTAAGTGTTAGCTTCTTAGACCTAGTCTTAAGAGAAAATTACTTAGGTCTGCTGGATTATGAAGGGTGAACTCGAGGGTGAGAAGTTTATATACAGCCTGGAACACAGAAGAAACATTCCTAAATAACAATGGACAAACCATGAAACCCAGTGTGGAAATGATGACAGTGTTTTGGTTACAATGCTTGACTTCAGGATCAAGAGTTTACCAGGCCTGTTATATGGCTTGAAATTACATGCAATTGTAGAATCATAGAATGATTCAGGCTGGAAGGAACCTTAAAGATCATCTAGTTCCAACCCTCCTGCCATGAGCAAGGACACCTTTTACTAGACCAGATTGCTTAAAGCCACATCCAACCTGGTCTTGAGCACTTCCAGGGATGGGGCATCCACAGCTTCTCTGGGCAGCCTGTTCCAGTGTCTCACCACACTCACAGTGAATATTTTCTTCCTAATACTTAATCTAAACCTGCCCACTTTCAGTTTAATGGCATTCCTGCTTATCCTATCACTACATGCCCTTCTATAAAGTTCCTCTCCACCTTTCTTGTAGGCCAGTAAACCCCACTATGTATGTAAAAGGTTCCATCAATAAACAGGACAAGAAATAACTGGCATTTGTTTCAGCAAGAGGGAAACATGCTTCCTGGTTTTTCAATTGGAAGGTCTTTGTCTCTGTTACAAAGCTGTATGCTTCAAAACTGTACATAAGAATTAATAAAGCTTTCAAAGGCTCTGTCTCCGTGAAATCTATGGGGTGCACAGCATGTTGCAAGGTGATATCTAACCTGATGTTGAGAATATCTCATAGGTCATGTGTAATCTTATATATATTGGAGGGTATTCCAGGAACTTGCAATGAAGACAATGATATACCCATTGTCAAGTCTGTCCTTTCTCAGAAGTGCACTGGAGGTGCAACATAGACAACAGAAATTAAGCTGGTTTGCATGAAAACTAAACTAAGTTATTGTTATGAAAGTTGTTCTCAAGAACAGCTTGTCATGTCAGTGTAGATGCAGTTAGTCTTCCCCAATATATTATGTAAACCTTTGAGAAGCAGTTACTTTAAATAATAATGGATGATGAATAAGCCACTGTAGACATAAAAGGCTCTAAAAGACATTTGCACAAGGTCTGTATTATCACTTAAACAGTAAATAAACATTTTTCACAGCACATTGCACTTGAATTACTAAGAATCTTGTATCAACATACTTGTCTAAACAGAAATCAATAGTCAATATTCTTACAGAAATATGTCATCAGTTATTTACACAATACATTTCATCCATATAGCATGAAACCACAGTTTTATTTGACTTCCCAAAATACCATAAATCAAAACAAACAAACACACAAATATACACCCTTAGAGTGAATGAAATATACTTTTGTTACTCAGGATACATATCAAATGAAATGAAAACTGTATTAATTTTAATTAACTCTTAATATTTTTTTAGGAGACCAAAAGTATCTTAGGAAAATATTCTTTTGACAGTATTTTTTAAACCCAAACTCTTCATTAATTTCTGAGAACTGATGTACGTAAGTAAGAAATCTTTTCCAACTGAGTACTCTCCTTAAGCTTATTTAGGCAGAACATATTTGCAATAAAGTTAGAACCTCTCTTCTCTCAAAAAGTATATTTGTAATGTAAAGTTAATGTAAAGCTAACTCTAAACTAATGGTGTGTCTGTAAAAAGTACTTTAAATGACATTCTACACTGTATCTGTTGTTTGAAAGTGGTTGTTTGAATTATGGCTCATTTCTGCAGCATAGAAGCTTGTAAAATAGTACAAGAAGACCCAGACTCAAACCTGGTTTTGTTTTTGACTCTGATCTTATCATTAATTATGGTAGTTTGAAATTTCAGTAGGGCACTCACAGACCATTTTAGAGAGTGTTTTAAATGCTGTAATTAAATTGTAGGAGCACTATTTGCAAAAATAAAAATCTTAATGGAAAAAAAATCTTGCTATAACTATTTGGCCAACTGCCTTCTTGTTTTACCTCCCATTTTCACAGCTCTGACATGTAGCAGTGCATATTTTAACATAAAATAGCAAGTCTGAAACTCTGACATGCTGTATATTTATTCTTGTGTGAAGTAAAACTTTTTTTAAATAGTACAGATGATTATATCTATTTTTTCAAATGAAGTGTTTCTTTTAAAGTGTAAGGTTTATTTTCACACTTCTGATTGCCAGGGAAGCAGGAAACAGAGAGCTGTACATCAGACATTTAAATCCAGACATTATGCAATCATGATAACAAGGATTAATAAAGATTAATTTAGCTCCCACTTAAAATCTCTGGTGTTTCAGAAATACAACTGTCTAGCTTGTAAAAGGAATAATTATAATTTCCTTTTCAAATGTGCCTCTTTGTTGCATAGTCGACAGTTGCCCATGATTTGAAGATTGTGACAAACTATTCTCTAGTTAAAAATCTGTTAAAAAAACCACACACACAAACCCCCCCCACCAATGAATACCTTGAATGTCTCATTGCTATTTCTTAGGTGGGTGGAACAGGTTTTATTTACGTGTAGTGTAAAAAAATTCACTTTCTTCATTGATCAAAACTATAAATGATAAAGACATCATTTCCAATGAGCTTAATTTTAAGCGTTCAGTCCTTTCGAAAAAGATATCTATTGATGAATGTAATAATTGTGTTCTGTTAAAACCACTCTGAAAAGTAGGATCTTTGTATAACTGAATACTCTGTGAGAATGTAACAGTTGACCACAGAAATAACATCACGAGACCTATGCATGCTTACAAATGGGAACAAAATCTTTCAACTTAAATTCTTCTGCATTTTATCTTTCAACATAATTTCTTCGGATTAAATACTACTATCTATTTTGCGTTTAAAAACTATTAACATAGTATGTCCTGACAAAGACAATACTAGTAAATTTCCTTTTTATTTAAAGCAATTTTTCAGAGATGGCCATGTTTCTTTTGAGAACAAGAATGAACAGCTACTGGGATTTGAGGCTGATAATGTAAAAAATGTAAAAGAAAAAAAAAACTAAGAAAAGGAAAAAGAAAGAAAATATCAGGAACACCGAAACAATGTATCAATAAGCAAATTTACAAATTAAAAAAAAGCCACAAAAAATCCCCATGAAAACCAAAATAAAACCCTACTCCACAAAAGAAAAATGTGTATAAATGGTAGCAAGAGAGTTAGAGCCAGGAGGAGCATGAACTACAGAAGAAATGAAGAGACAGAATTATAACATAAAAGAACAGAAGACATAAGACTAGAAACTCACATCCACATCAAGAAGAGTCAAATCTGCATTAGTAAAACCTGCTTGCTAGGAAAAATTTGCAAATTGATCCTAGAGCTGATTCAGGAAATTGAAGTTTCCGCTGTCTGCCAGGAGCAAGTTGATGGCCTTTGTGAAGGTACATCTAAGGTTGAAATGGATATAACAGCAGGGGAAATGCTACTGAACTGCATTGTCAGTGGGATAACTGGCACTGTAAGATCAAAAGTGTGAGTACACCCAGCTGTAGAAATGGAACCTCAGCAGACTTCCTAGGAACACAGAAGAGATTTTAATGATTAGAAGCCAGACCATATTGCAGCTATGAGAGCAGTTTAGGGATATGCACGAACTGAAAAAAAAAAAAAAAATTCCTTTTTCCAGAGTGAGCTCAGTCTATGTTCCAGGGAAATGTCTACCTGGACTGAAGGCTGAAATGAAGAGCCTTACACTAAGGTATGGCAGAAATCAGGTGAGAAAGGCATTGATGAAGATTTTTGAGGATTCTAAGTTATTGCACTGGTTCTGGATGGGGTAGAGCTAATATTCTTTACAGTGGTTGGTATGGGGCTATGTTTTGGATTTCATATTATCAACACAGGGTTGATAATATAGAGATCTTTTTGTTACTTCTGAGAGTGCTTACGCACAGCCAAGACCTTTTCTACTTTTCATACTGCCATGATGTCAAGGAGGCTGAGGATGCATGGGAGGTTGGGAGGAGACACATCTGGGACAGGTGACACAAACTGACTAAAGAGGTATTCCAAACCACATGACATCACGCTCAGTATAAAGAGTGGGGGGAAGAA